CCAGGCACCTTGCGGCCCAAGCTTGCGGCTCTCATGTTCAAAGCGCCCTGAAGTATAGGCACGTGGGTCTCTTTGTCTAAATGTATGTGAGTATGCATACGTACATACTACGATTTAGGGTTTAGGGTATTGAGGGTTTAGGGGTATATGTATATACCGTATGTAGGTACAGACGCTTCATGGTACAAGTAGCGCTCACGATAAATCGCGGTGTGGTCTGCTCCGCAGTCGACTCGTGCCTGTTTGTGGAGCGGGCATCTAGACTACATATTAAAGAAATCATGGAAGAAAGGTGGAAAGTACCTAACTCCGTCAAACCGTCAAGCCACGGCACAAGACATAACCAGCCGGTACACGCCCTCTTAGGGTTTGGAGTTTGGAGGTCAGCCTAAACCCTACACCTTCAAACCCCTAACCTCATAAAACCCCCAAAGCCCTGACCCCCTTAACCCTGAACCCTAGACCCTGACCTGAACCGTTATAAACCTATAAACCCAGAAACCCTTAGAGGAACCCTTAAACAAATTCCCTAAGTTAGAGGAACCCTTAAACAAATTCCCTAAGACAAACTCAAACCTTGGAGCTGCCAGCTGCCTCCTGTGCCCTTCAGCAAGTTTTTGACGGCCATACGGCCTGAGAGTTGGATTGCAGGGCTTTAGGGTTTACTGGTCAGGGATTTTTTTTTGACGCTCACACTCTGCAATACCAGGCGAGGTCGACAGACGACTAGAGGTGCCAACAGACAGGATGTGTACCTATCTGTCTCAGGGTTTGGGGCTTTGGGGTGTAAGCCTATGGGGCTATCCGGGTACAGGGTTTACGGATCAGGGGAGGGTTTACCTAAAACACCAAAACTAGACGCAAGAGTAACCTAGGAATAAAAAGGGTGCCCTTTTTGGTTTAAAGGGGCTTATAAGGGAACCAGAACCCTCAAAAAAGGGAATAAGGGCCTACTCTGGGTCCTAGAAAAAAATAAAATAATGGTCTTCTGGGTTGGGGGCTTCAAGGGTATTGGGTTTAGGGCTTTTAGGGCTTCGGGGTTCCTAGGGTGCAGGGTTTCTGGGGAAGGGGTGTATAGAATTTATGGGGTATCAGGCTTATTGGGTGCCAGGTCGCAATTTGCTCAGTTTGGGAATTTTGGGCTTGCATGGAATATGGTTGGGGGTCTGTAGTAGGCTTCTGGTGTTTAGGGACGTCGCATGGACACATTGACATACATAAACGCCTGAACTAGCAAGAACGGAAACAGGCCTGCGACCCTCTCTCAACAAGAGCACTTTATTCCTCATGCAACGTGCCTCTCTTACGGACATCCGTGGCAGTGGCAAAAACACTGTTCGCGAGCCCTTTCTATGATCACGTCTCCAAACCCAGCACCCCCGGGGGATCTAAAAGTAGATCCCCTAATTTGGGACCCTGACTACTAAAAGGTACTTTACAGGAGCTCCCTTCAGGGATCTAACTTTTGGCTCCCTTTTCAGGTGTGTCCAAAACCGCGCATCAGCGCGCATCCCCTCAGATTCGGGCTGCGTTGAAGCTCGTCATATGCCGAGCACCAGACGCGCCTGGGTGTTCTTTGGTTTTCGAGTTTTAGGGTCTATAGGGGTTTAGGGTTAGGGTGTAGGGGTTAGGGGATGAGGGTTTAGGGGCTTAGGGCTTGAGGTTGAGTGAAAAAGGTTGACCTACAGTCCCCCGTCGTAATTCTGTTCTTTGTGGTTACCCCATAAGACCCTAAATACAAAATTGGTGTGCCTCTCAGGGCCCATGACCCCATCTCGTCTAGTATATACTATATACTTTGGACTTAGAATAGCCTGAGTAGTCCTATATAGTCACTTAGTCACATTTTAAGGCCAAAGTATCTACTGGAGTACGTGGGCCCTTAGAGAAAACCAAAGAACAAAAACTAGAATGGATAATATAGGTAGGATTTTGGTTTTGTTTGCCTCTCCGGCCTCCTCGAAGATCGGCAAGGTCAAACATGGCTTCAGAGGTTTAGGGCTTCCGGAGAGAAGGAACTTAGGGTTTTAGGTAAACGTCGTGGCGCACAGGACTCGAAGTAGCCTTCTCACCCTGATCTGTGTGCCCCGGCACTCTCTCAAACGCAATCCCAACGACCTCAAACACTTTCACTCCATACCCCGAAGCCCAGAACCCAGGCCGAAGAAATTGCCATATGCACTGCAGACGCCTCGCCTACAGCAGAAGCAGCTCGCTTAGATACCCGCAGAGTGCCCATGCTGTTCAGGGTAATTGGTGTTGCGAGTTGCGATTTTGGGTTTAGAGGCTTCGAAACCCTAAATCCTTGAGTTCGGGTTTGGAGCTTTGCCATGCACGACACTTAAAAAACCACACGGCCTCGCAGACAACGCCGCTCATCGTTTAATGTGCAGCCTCCCTATAAAACAGGAATTCCTAGTAAAAACGTTCCAAACCCGAAACCTGAAGCCATGACGAGGCCTAAAGCGTTGACTTCAACAGCCCAAGCAGGACAGGCTTTTTCCTCCTTCCAACATCGCATCTCGGGAAGAAGACCCATGTTCCAACAAGCAGCGGCAGGCGAGCCCAATAATGCGGTTAAGGGTTTAGGGTTTAGGGCATCTTGAAACTGATGGTCCATCCCACGAGTGGCTCATAGATGAAAACACAGTTGAAGCGTTACGTAGATTACACAAGCTACCACCCATCCCCTTTCCAATAGAGCAACTCCATACCGGCCCTGGTTTGCTTACTTCTCCTCGCACTTCAGACTATTGATGCTCTAGGTTCAAAGCCGGTCTTGGGGGTTGGCTTAGGAGTTGAAGTGGTGGTGTTGGTGGTGGTTGCCGTCGTAGAAATGCTAGCGGTAGCACTAGTAGCAGGTAGTGACAGGTAGTAGCAGGTTGTAGCCGTGGTGGTAGTGGTGCTGGCGGTGTTGGCAGTGGTAGTGGTAGTGGCAGTGGTAGTGGTAGTAGCAGCAGCAGCAGTAGCAGTAGCAGTAGCAGTAGTAGTAGTAGTAGTAGTAGTAGGAGGAGTAGTAGTGGTAGTAGTAGTAGTAGGAATAATGGTGGTAGTGGTAGTAGTAGTAGTAGTAGTAGTAGTAGTAGTAGTAGTAGTAGTAGTAGTAGTAGTAGTAGTAGTAGTAGTACTAGTAGTACTAGTAGTACTAGTAGTACTAGTAGTACTAGTACTAGTACTAGTACTAGTACTAGTACTAGTACTAGTAATAGTAGCAGCAGCAGCAGCAGCAGTAGTAGTAGTAGTAGTAAGTAGTAATTAGTAACTACTGTTATTATAATTAGCAGCAGCAGCAGCAGCAGCAGCAGCAGTAGTAGTAGTAGTAGTAGTAGTAGTAGCAGCAGCCGTAGCAGCTGTTGTTGTTGATGATGTTGTTGTTGTAACAAGTAGTAGCTACCGTTATGATAATTAGCAGCAGCAGCAGCAGCAGGAGCAGGAGGAGGAGGAGGAGGAGGAGTAGTAGTAGTAGTAGTCGTAGTCGTAGCAGTAGCAGTAGCAGTAGCAGTAGCAGAAGTAGTAGTAGTAGTAGTAGTAGTAGTAGTAGTAGTAGTAGTAGTAGTAGTAGGAATAATGGTGGTAGTGGTAGTAGTAGTAGTAGTAGTAGTAGTAGTAGTAGTAGTAGTAGTAGTAGTAGTAGTAGTAGTAGTAGTAGTAGTAATACTAGCAGTAGTGGTAGTAGTAATAGTAGTAGTAGTAGCAGCAGTAGTAGTAGCAGTGGTAGTGCAGGGGACTTTGGGCACTCGCTTCTGCAGCCGGCAACCTCCAATCTGACCTCTAAACTGAGACCTTTCGTCCTAAGCCCTAGACCTAGCTCGGCCGACCCAGGAAAGGCACTTGTGGCGGAGCAAGTTCCGGAGTTTAGCAACAGTGGCACAACAAGAATTGCACGACCGGGCTTGGGGTTAAGGGTTGTAGGTGATGCTGTTGCCGCTCGACGTTCTACGATTCTAGGTCGTACATTAGCATCACCCGGTTGGCATGCTCTAGGTGCATGGGCCAAGGTTCCGAAAAACTCACCCGAGCCTTGTCTACACCGTCAAACCACCATAGCCCCTGAAGCTAGAGGACTTAAACCCTTAACCGCTTGACTTGAATCCAAGGGCAAAAGGAGGGACCCTTAATGGGGACCCCTAGGTATATACCCTTAATACAGCTATTATATACCCATTATATAGCCCATTATTGGGTAGGGGTCCCCATTAAGGGTCCCTCCTTTTCCCCTTTGAGACTTCAAAACCCCAACACGACAAACCCTAACAGGTCCTACATGTCCCAGCACCCGAACAAATCATAAGCTCAGTTTATTCCAAGACAGGAGGATTTAGATCCGAGAGGACAACTACAAAAAATGATGCCTAAGTAATTATGCATGTAGGGTGTTTCCTGCGCGCAAGTAACAGGAACTCTTCAAAGGGATCCTGACTTCGAGAACGTAATAACCTGGGGTTGCGAGTTGTGGGGTGTTATACAGTACATTACAACTAGGATACAGGAACCCTAAGGAAACATGTTAATGTTGGAAGTTGATTTCAAGTTGTATTGGCAACTATGTTGGATGGCATTGCGGATGGCACTGCCACACTACCAGAAGGGATAAACAGAATAGGGTTTTGGTGCATATCATACCATAACTATAATAAGGAACGCCCCCCAAAACAAGTATCGGTAATCACTAAGGCCCCACTATAGGTCTTTGCTGCAGCCTGTTTTTGCCTGGGTCTCCCATCGAAGCGCCGCCGAGCACTTGCAAGAAAGCTGAGCTGCCATCCGTAGCTTTTGTTACGTCTTACGCTTGTTCCTGAGGGTGATTCAAAAGGACAGCATGTACTCAAAGGGCCTTACTCAAAGGGCCTCAAATGCCCCGCAAATCAACCACCATCTGACTCCTTCTATATCCTACACGCTCTGGTGGTATGTATATATATATATATATAGATATACAATGTTACAAACATACACACATACATAACAGCTCATTGCAAAGCTTTTGCAGCTAAGTTGAGCTACTGCTCAGACCGGGCTGCATCCATCTCCTTGCCCATCATTTCGACCACGTTTCGACCTCGCTCGTTGCAGTGTCGAAACTGATGCATTTTTACGGTTTAGATTTTTTGCCTCCCGGGTTTAGTCCGGGCAGGCCACTATCACTACCCCATAAGCACGCAAATCAGTCAAATCATAGTCATAGTATGCCCTTGGCTTTCGTACAACATGCTTAGTCACGGACTGCTCGGTGCCAAGGTAACAATGTTGTTAGATGTGGGGCTTAGGTTTAAGGGCCCAAAGGGTCCTAGTACCTATACAACAGAATGTAATGTAAGGTTTCTATAATAGTTATTACTATTATCGTTTGGGTAAGTATCCCCCCAGAGCAAGACCTAGGACCCTTTGGGGGCCCGAGGAATGTGAAGGCAGGTCGCTAAGCCGAAAACTAGTGACAGCCAGGAGTACATGGAGCAGCACTTATTGAGTGTAAAGCTTTAGATAGCTAGTCAAACGGCCCATGTATTCATATAGGTGACCTGAATATTCAGAGGGGTGGCAGGTGATTCGCAATATTGTACTAGGGAACGCTCCGGAAAATTAGTACTGAATTTTCAGGCTCGTTTACCATACATTGGTCCTACGTACTAGAGGCGACATATGGAGACCACTTTGAGGCCAAGGTATACATTTGGTATTGCTTCTTCATGAACCTGCAAGCGGCGGTGCGAGCGTTTCAGTTGAATCGGGCACGGCTAACCCAAACGATCTGAGTAACGGCATAATATATGCTTGCAGGGCCAAATTCTAACATGTTGATACTATTACCCTTTGGGAAATTAAGCAAGGTGCTTGCCACGGTCTTTGATTCCGCTTAGTCGCGATGTGTCTGTGCGAGATTTGACATGTCATGTCAGTTGAGTCCAACAACCTCCAGCGTACAAAAGGCTAACCTTTGGGGATAAATGGGAACTATAGTAACCCACAGAGGCTAAAGCCTACCTACCCTACTACTAAGTATCACAAGTAAAGGAAGACGAGGGGATGCTGTGGTGGGCGAAGCATTTATGAGCATTCCCGATTCAACCAAAACATCCTTTTTGAGCAGGGACTGCAATGCACCAAGCCCTGAACCAAAACATCCTAAAACCCTAATTCTTTCTCTGACCATGCTCTCATGCTCTAATCGTCAAACTCATGCCTTTTTTTTCTGCAGGCTTGCTTGCAAGGACCCTAAACCCAAAACCCTATTCAGCATGGGCTTGGATTGCGTGCAAGCAAGCACTCCTCAACAGCAAACCCCAAACCCTGCAACCGACACCTCTGGACCTCTGTTCCAAGCCAACTTCTTCCAGTGGGATGCGGAAACAGGGGACTCCGGTATACCCTGAATAGTAGTAATAGTAGGATCCTTGTTATAACCTTAGTATAGTACCCTAGATACTCGGATCCTTATGATGACCCTAATATGGCACTCTAAATAGTAGGATCCTTGGCATAAGGACCCCCAAAATAAGGTACGCGATGTCTTCCGAAACTCTCATGTCCCTTGGTGAGGCTCCGGCTGTCGGCAAACTTGGCATTCAGCAGAACCTTGAGAATGCCGTCTTTGGGGTACTGGTTTAGGATTTAATTAGGGTCTGTAGATTGCTGGGTCGAAGACTTCTGATTACTTGCATTGCTAGGGCTTGTTGGCTTACAGAGTTCGCGGCTGCGGGGGTAAGGCATCGAGGTGAAGCCTTTCAAGCCCTTTAAAGATTAAAGCCTTAGCCTCCACGATCGAATGCCACATGCTGCTTCTGCTCACAAGAAAGCCCTAAACCCATGACTTTCCCAACCCTCAATGAGGCCCCGAACCCGAAACCCGAAAGCCGTTGCTTGCTTTCCCAGCCACCGCGGCGATGTGGCCATCCGGACCAACTTCCACACGCATCGGCTCAGTGAGGCTGCCTGGGGCTTTGAGTTTTAAGGGCCTTCGGGTTTAGGGTTTAGGGTTTTAGAGCCTCCGGGTTTAGGGCTTCAGGCTTTTGGGATCTCGGTGTTAAGGTGAGACAAAAACCGAAGATGGGGGGGACCCCTAGATGTAGTACCTTTCTTGGTTTCCTTATGTTTCTGATTATAGGATCCTAACCATGAGTGAAGTAAGTTAGACAACAAAAGGTACTACGTTTAAGCGTCCACATGTGAGTTTCCGAAAATAGGGGACTCCAATACAGTGCCCTAGATAGTAGGATCCTTATTATCAGGACCCCAAAAGATGGTGCCCCTGATTTTCGGAAACTCCCGAATGCAGTACAGTTTTTTGGTTTCCGCATGTGGTAGTCTGACGTTTTCCATCGAGTCGGTATTCCTGTTCCTTAGCAGCCTTAGCATTCATCAGGGCCTTCTGTGTCGCGTGCCCACAAAAACCAGTCTAGCTGCGATTGTAGCTTCCTTTCAGTCACACATGCTCTTGCCGTCGTTGTTTTCTGCCGTCCTCTCGTCAGCTCATAAGTTGTCTACGCAAAGTATATAGATTGAAGAAAAATGTTCGCTGTTCCCTTGCGCTCTGCACACGTGACAAAACACCCACGACCCACCCAGCCACCCACCCCACGCGCATGCATCTTGCTAAATTCTGAGAAAGCTTGGCATCTGATTGAACATTACTGTAGGGGCCTGAGCCCCCACACCCGCTTCGAATTACTAAGGCCCTGGTATTAATCGACTGAACCCTTCATTTAATCGAAGAGCCTCCTGAAACTCTGAGTTGTCGGCTAGAACTTAAGGCGTGGACGCCTTGGCTAGTGGATTCTGGACCCCGTCTCCCGTTGGGCTCAGGTCCAGCCGGTTTCTGGACCCTGTAACCCTTTGTGCAACTGGCTTGCAAAGACCCTCGCTGTTCCCTATACACCCTAAATCCTAGCCCCCCAAACCTTTAAACCGTCTCCAGACCCAGAGGCTCCATAGTAGTTCCTTTTTGGGATTACCTTGTAGGATTCTATCTATGAACCCCAAAAAGGAACTACTTTGGAGCCTTAGGGGAAGCCTTTGAATCCGGAAACTCCGTTACTGTAAGCCCCCTCATTCGTGAGCAGGCCGCCACACCGCCGAGTGCGGCAGTGCACTGTGTAGGTGTACGTCCCAATGCCTGGTGAGTCGATGCCTCGGCTCAGGGTTACAGGGAACTCCAGAAAGTTGGAATATGGTTTCATGGTAGGATACCCTATAATTTGCCATAAAGGGTTTAGGATAATCATATTCCAACTTTTTGGCTTTTACTGTATGTAGTTGGGGTTTAGATATGTGTTGGCTTCGGAGTGATGCAGGCCCTCAAGAACTGGAATAAGGCTTCGCGTAGATAACAATAAAAACTATAGTGAGGAACCGAGGGGGACAAGCATTAGTAAATAGTCCGGCACCCACAATGATTAGGGGTTAAGGGGTTTAGGGTTTAGGGTTTATCAGACCTTGTTGTGCTTTGAGTTTCTTCCATCGGGAAATTGCACGGAAACCCTGACACAGGCCATACAATGTCAGGATCCTCTGTGCAACGACCTCTCACACCGCATCCCAGACGGAAGCCGCAGGAAATCGTAGTCTCCATTGTTGTTCCTTTTTTGGTTTAACCCATTGAATAGATCTAGGCTCCTAAAAGGTAACCCTAAGAAGGAACAATGGAGACTCACACAAATAAGTGTGACACATGCTTGTAACACATTTGGTCGGAATCGTACACCTCACAAGACAACCTCTCTCTCTCTCTCTCTCTCTCTCTCTCTCTCTCTCTCTCCCTCCCAGGCATGCACACTCTAAACCCTAAATCCCAAACCCCAAACGACCCTTAGTTATTCATCCCCAGATCCTCCTTTAGACTCCGGGCTACACTTCGTCCCAGAGGCTCATACCCGACCCCATTTTAAGGGTACCTAATTTTTTCGAGATAGCAGATCCTAACCATGAAACTAGGTATCCAAAAAAAGGGGGTAGGGCATGAGCCTCTAGGTTGTTTAAGGTTTAGGGGTTTCGACTTGCACACTCGCACTTTCGGGGTTTAAGGGTTCTGGGTTCAGGATACGCAGCCCCTCCACCCAACCCGCGACCTTCGCTGAACCTGGCGCCCAAACGACATCGCATCACGGAACAACGATACTTGGAGGATTCCATGGAACTTAGTAAGTGGAATTATCAGTATTTGAACTAGCGTTATAAGTACTTACAAACATAGTTACCGTATTTATGGCTTAAAGTACTTACTAAGACTAAGCTCCATAATCCTCCAATTATCATATTTCGACGCTGAGCGCACTCCGCGCTGAACAACGCCATTGCTTTTCTCCTTCCGGGAACTATTGCCGCTACACAGAGAGCCCAAAACATACAAACCCTAAAACCCAGACCGCCACAAGGGTGTGAGGGGCGTACGAACTCCTCGCTAGGTTCTCTCTCCCCTTCAAGCAGCCGAACCACAGACACCTACAGAAAACAAGAGAACGGTGCACAACTCCAAACAACATAACTCCAAACCAAATCAGCATATCGACAATACCCCTTAAGTAAGGAATATGGCTTAAATTATTTAGGGCTTCATATTATGGTTTAAGCCATATATTCCCTAATTAAGGGGTATTGGGCTCTCTGGGTTTCTGCAAACCCTAAAGTGTCTCAAGCCTAAATCTGCGTCCAAGGCTCTCATGGATGCTGGATACTCCTTGGCTGTGATAGCTCTTTCCATCAAAGAACTGAGAGTCGAAGGTTTCGGGTTTTTTCACTCCTACCTAGCCAGGACGAAGCCCGCATTGCAGGGAATCTTCGTTGGATAGTCGAAAGAGCTACTTGGAGGCCCTTTTGACTTAATAAGTAGGGTTAGTAAGCTGGGTTATGGGGATTATAATAGGGTTTCTAGGGGATACTAAGTAGACTTACTAAGTCAACAGGGCCTCCAAGTAAGGTTTAGGCTCTAAGTTTCAAGGCTCAGGGCTTTGGGCTTAGGGGTGTACGATTCGGGGCGAACCCTAAACCCTAAACCCTGCCTAAACCCTAAACCCTAAACCCAACGCGAAACTTGCGGCACAGCATTTGGGAGTTTCCGAAAGTAGGGGATCCTAATTTAGTACCCTAAATAGTAGGATCCTTATTATAAGGACCCCAAAATAAGGACCCCCTGTTTTCGGAAACTCCCATTTGAGGCTTTTCTGAACTACCGGTCTGAGGCTCAAGGTTTACTTGGAGAAGTAGCTCAACTCGGGCTTTAAGTGGGAGTTTCCGAAAATAGGGGACCCTAGTATGGTACCCCGAGTAGTAGGATCCTCAGTAACAGCACCCCAGAATAAGCTACCCCTAATTTTCGGACACTCCCAACTCGGGCTTTAAGTATTGATAAGTAAAGAGGTTTAGGGTTTAGGGTTTTGGGTTTAGGGTTACCTCAATTGAAACCTTACTTACTAAGTCCCTTGATCGGGCCAGTAGTGCCAACTTAAACTCGCGCGGAACCCTTCCGGAGTTTTCTGATGAGAGGACTCTAACCTCCTACTTGTCGGGTATCATGGGGAACTAAAGGTTAGCTTTAGTGGTTAGCCTTTTTGCTTATCTAGGGACTGTACTATCCAAAAAATGTTAAAAGTTGCCGCTACTACTAGGTTACGAGGACCATGAAACAGCTAGGTTATCACCAGGGCAGCTATAACTCAGGTTCTGGTTGAGGGTTGAGATTTAAACGGGAAGGGCTGTTGAGCCTAAGTTACTTAGTGGTTTGGGGAGTCAGATTGGGGCTCCGGGGTTCTGTAAGGTGGGTTTAGGGTTTAGGGTTTAGGGCTTAGGGTTTAGGGTTTAGGGTTCAGGGTTTAGGGCTTAGGGTTTAGAGTTAGGGTTTAGGGTTTAGGGTTTAGGGTTTAGGGATTTGCTTTGTTTTAGCTTTCGTGATTCAGGATCCGGGGACACGGCAAGTAGGCGATGAGCAGGCGGAGTATCCCAACCCCGCACCCATACGAGGTAATCATGAAACCACAAACCCTAAACCCCTAAACCTTAAACAACTTTCAGTCCACTTGCTGTTGTTTCTTACCTGATCTGGGTTTGTGCCTTTGTGTCGAGTGTTGAGCGCCAGCGCTGCGTTGGGTCCAAGGGGGTTTGCGGCTTAAGGTGTGAGTCGTCCTGCAGGACTAAACTGCCTCTGCCAAGCATCACTTGACCCAGCCGCCTCACTTGAGACTGACCAAAGTCCCTGGCTGTCACTACCTGCGGTTAGGGTTTAGGGTTTATGGGGGACCTGGTAGGCTTTACAGCGGCAGCTTGAAAACCTCGTGCCACCTTTTTTCGTGGAGGACAGCAGTCTGTGGTTAGTATCTGCACTTGCTTCGGTCATCACACCATGCATGGCACCCCCCCCCCCCAACAAACCTGCATCACCCTCTTAGACCCTACTTGTCAAAAACCAACACCTCAACATGCCCCATCTCAGAACCCAGAAAAGGCGAACTCAAAACACCCTGACCCAAAGACCCAGGCTATTGACATGTTCGGGGTGCTTTTAAATTACAGTATATCTAAGGCTGGAAACACTGACGACAGCAGTATTGTGGCCTGACTCAAACTGCCATGCGACGCTCGGCGACCCAAGTCTAACATCCCGAGTACTCAATCCTAGCTCCCCGCCCCAACTGCTACCTTGAACGCAAATATTGGGCCCTATCCGAAACAAGCTCGCGCCGCCGTTTCTGCTACTACTTATTCGAAAACATAACAAATTCGGAAACCCGGGCCTAGATTTCGCATGGGCCCGCCAAGGCTAGATCGCATAACCTGCTGCACTGTGGATGGGAGGCATCTCGCTTTTGCTTTATGATTTGTTCTTCTGCACTGAGTCTGCTATCGTTTTGTTCGACAATTACTCGATTACTGGATTCGGAACCTCACGGATTCGCCTTGACCTGTAACAGATATTAGCCGAGGGGATTCAAGGACACAGGTGGTTCGAGAGAATCGTGGCGAGTACTGTCGGACGCAATGGAGTGGACTTTCGTGGCTTGGATGTATCGCGAAAGGCCAGCGCTGCACACCCTCATTAGGGAGGCCCCAACGAAATACAAATCGAAGGCTTAGCCTCAAGTACTGTCACCATACATTTGCCGCGCAGCACTCATGCCCTCCGTCTACACGACGCACACTACTTGGAGGGTCGGGGGGCGTAGTAAGTAGGTAGTAAGTAGACCTATAAGTACCCCAAAAGGGACCCCAATTGGGGTTATGGTACTTATAAGTCCCTAAAATAACCAGTTACTAAGTGCCCCGACCCTCCAAGTACCCAGGGCGCCATGAATGCAACAGACGGCCAAGAACGGCCTGCACACACCAGCCTGTTCGAAACGTGCTTGTGGCGTGGTAGGTGCTGCAAAGGCTTGAGGCTACATTTTCGTACCATTGAACTGAAACACGAAAAACTCCAAGACCCAACTCAACTCGAACTTTGCCCAACATGTTGGAAGCCAACAACCGAAACCTTTACGCAGTACAAGCACCTCCCGGCTTTGCATTACCAGCTCGAAGAATCGGAGTCAAAAGTTTTAGACAGTGCTGACATACAGGTCTGGCCCTCAAAATCTCAGCTCGGTCGTAGCAGTGCTTAAGATCATAGTGTCGTGCACGTGGTAGGTGCATTCTCACTGTCCTGACTGATGGCATGGCCGTGCTAGTGTTAAGAGACGCTGTTGAATCATTTGCAGAAATGGTCGTATCGACGAACATCGTAAGCGCCACAGACAAGGATGTCAGGTCCAAAGCATGAACAGTAGAGCAACTTTTAACGCAGGAAGACCAAATCAGACAGGATCGGATGCAAACCGTCTGCTTGGGGTTTCAGACATGTCGAGGTTGGCCCTTTAAAGCCTCTGAAGAATATTGGTACATAGGGTCCCATTAAGCCCAACAAGGGAAAACATAAAATGTCAAAGCGGGCTGCCTAGAAGTGTCTCACTGGTGAGGATCTTGGGCTGCATTGATCTTACAGTACTGCATAGCAAGACCCTATTGCAAGTCCCCCAAGCCTTTGCTTGGAGGCCCTGTGACGTCGTACTTAGTGCACCTTCACGAGCCGATACTTTTCGCAAGCGGAAAATACATGAATGTACAAAACCACTTAAGAAGTGGATTTCAATACTCGCAACACACCCTTCATGAATCTCGTGAGTATTCCAGAAGAACTGAATCCCCTAAACCCTCGACTTCCAAACCGGAGTCATAAGTACTAGGTCGATACGGTCGATAAACCCTAGACCCGAAACTGTAAACCCATGAAGCCCCACGGTAACCACAAACCCGAAACCCCTAAACTGTAGCAGAGCCATCTCACACCAAGACTCCAACTATGGTCAGCATGGGGAAAAACAGCATAGGGTTTAGGGTTTAGGTTTTCATGTTTTTTGACACTGGTGACAATGGTGTTTTTTTGTAGACTCTGAACCATAGAGCTAATCAAAGCACAGCATACTTCATAACTCTACTCTAATGATTCAGGCTGCGTTATTGGGCCAATTGCGAGCCTGAGTCTTGGTCTTGTCGGTGTTGCATACAACAACGTATATGGTTTTGAGGGGTGGTATACTGTACAATTAGAATCAGGAGCCCTAAGGAATAATGCTGATAATCATGTTGGCTACACTCTTCGTGACCTTCGCACGAGGAGAGCGGCTTGAAAGACCAAAGGTTCAAAAAGGTGCTGGGCTTCGGAAAGTGTTGGAGGATTCCGAGCTTTTAGGATTCAGGCTGCAAGGGGTCCAACTTTTGGGTGGTTGTCAGAATTATGGTCCCTTTCTGGGTCCCTAATATAGTACGGCACCTCATATTTAGGGTACCCAAAAAGGGGCCATAATTTTGACAACTGCTCATTCGTGGGCTTTTATGCACTGAACCTTTTAATTTGATGCTTTCACGGTTGGATCAGGGTCTAAACCCTGACAATGGAATTCCAGACTCTACATCAAGCCCTGGCAAAGTGCTTGAATTCCAACCTTCCACAGGGGCCTAAAGTAGAAGCCAGAAAGTTGGAACAGCTGCATCCTCATGCACATAAAGTAAAGCATAGCCGTAGGGTCCACCCTTATAAAACGGGCCATAAAAAAAGGGACCGTTTTCTAGAAAATTACATATATAGTACATGACAAGCATCGACCCGCCAACCGTGTTGTGGATTCGTGCCACACATCCCTAAACCCCAAACCCCAAAACCCTGCACCCCTTCTTTAAACCGTACTCCTAAACACTAAACCACCACACCCCTAATCCCTAAACCCCAAATCACAAGAGTTGATGAAACCATGTCCTAAAGCCATGTAACATAGGGCTCAATAGTTAGATTGGGGTTTTGAGGTCCATTATACTATACTTGTAAAAAGGAACCCCAAAATAGTGTAATTGATTAAGGCCCCTAGAGTAACCCTACGACTTCTAGGCATAGTGTCAGGACCTCTGGGGTCTCCTTGCGGGGTGCTCTCTTGGGTTCGGAAGTGTTGCTATACCATTATACGACGGGTCCATGTACTCCTTTGGCCCTAAATAGTAGAAACTTTGGCTCTAAAGTAGCTACTCGTATATAGGGACTACATTCAATCGGAAGTATATACTAGATGTGTAATTGGACCCTGAGGGCGCGCGTGTGCATGATTGAAGGCCCTTGGGTTTGGGGGTCCTCCGGGATTCCCGTCTCCAGGTCGTAAGGCATTACTTGGAGGATCGTGGGACTTAGTAAGTAAGGTTATAAGTACCTTAATTGGGGGATATAAGTATTTATAAGTATAGTAATTCTATTTATGATCTTACTTACTAAGTCCCATGACCCTCCAAGTAAAGGCTCTGGGCACCAGGGGGTTTGAGGAGCCAGCGTTCGGTGCTGGGGTCTGCTATCGGGGTTTAGGCTTTTGGTGTTGTTTACGTGACTATTCCTTAGCCATGAGGCAGCCCTTGCAAATCACCTGAAAAATGATGGAAAACCCGTACAATGCTCGGTTCGCGCACAATCGACAGCTTGACATGGTATTCCCGAAGTACACCGCCGCTACTACTACTGCTGCTGCAGTTGCGACGACGACGACGACTACTACTGCTATTACTACCACCACTACCATACCTCTACCACTACCACTGCCATCACTGCTACGACTACGGCTACTGCAACTGTGGCAACTGCTGCTGCTGCTGCTACTGCTACTGCTACTGCTACTACTGCTACTGCTGTTAGTAGTGCTGCTACTGCTACTAGTGCTACTACTACTACTACTACTCCTCCTGCTGCTGCTACTACTACCACTACTACTACTACTACTACTGCTACGATACTACGACTACCACTAGCACCACTACCACCATTACCACTACCACTACTGGTACCACAAGCACCAGCAGCAGTAGCAGCGCCACAACTACCACAGCACCACCAGTACCACACTACCACTACCAAATTCCGAACTCAATGTCGTTTAGGGTTTCTGTATACAGTAGGGTTTCTGTATACACTGCTGTCTGTACCGATGCTGACAGCTTGTCTTTATCTTCTCTTTTGTGTCGTCAATCTCCCCGCAGAGTGTTTAGGTATTTGCGATGGATTTGGAGGGTCAGCCGCTCACGCAGGGTTTTCTGCTTTATGGCTGTACTTTTTGGCTTAATTAAAGCTTTATAGGGCACCCTGTGTTTAGGGTTTTCGGGTTTAGAGTCTTCTATCGCACGACTGTCTCTTGATGTAAGGGTCAAGATCGCCGGGGCGCATGAAAATCAACCCCCAAAGACCCTGCAACCCGAGCTTTTAACCAGGACAAGCCCCACCGTCCCCAAAAACCTACTTGTTGTTAGGGTTTAGGGCTTAGGGTAAGGACTCCTATAAGAAATGATAGCGAAGTGCTCTAAGCAGGTGGGCGTTTTGGATTAAGGTGACCACCTCGCCTGCTAGCTGCTAGAAGACCTTCTGAGCCCCAACACAATCTCAAACCCCGACTCCCCAACCTCTCTTCCCCCTGGCCCCTAACCCCTATAAACCCCAAAACGAGCAACACATGCTTCTGCGGTCCCTCCAAAAGAAACCATCATCCAACGCACACAAGAAACTACAGAAAGGATCAAGAGCTTTATAGATATAAGAATGATATAAAAGCCCAAACTCCGAACCTTTGGTTGCTAGGCCAAGAAGCTGTGAAATAGGATTCATAGGTCAGGCCATCGGGGTTGAAGTTCGTGCTCCACACCTCGGGCTTTTGCTTCACATGATGCTATGATGTTCTACAGGGTGTTATACTACTGCGCCAATGGGTTTTACAGGTGAAGCATTGTTCAAGCGTTTTAGGCTTCCTTGCTGTTGCAAGCAGCTGCTATCTTCGTAAGCTCTTGTCCTGTAGACCCTCCACGAAACTTGCAAGGCCATTTGAACAAGTAGGTTCTGGGTTATGCCAGGCAGCGCTTAGGCCAACTCTCAGCTTGCGATTTAGGATGTAAGCTTTTCGGAAGAATCCGAAGGATCAACACGTGCAATTCATGTAGGTGGGAGGAAACCCGAAGCAAAGCCCGTCTATGAGGCAACCTAAATACTGCTTGCTCTCCATCCGATTCTACGAGATTCTTGACACATTCCCAGAGAGCCCAATACCCCGTAATTAAGGACTATGGCTTAAATCATAATATGAAGCCCATATTCCTTAATTGAGGGGTATTGGGCTCTCTGGGTTCCGGTCTTCGTGAGTTGTGGTTTGTGGCAGGCTGCGCTTGGAACTCAGCAGCGACCTGAACTCTAGCTCACCCGAGGCCCAGCATCTAGCATGAACACTAGGGCATTCACCCCTCAATCCCATGCAAAAGTCTAGACACATGGGTGGGTTTCAAAATTAGGGTCCCTTTTTGGGTACCCTAATATACAATGAGTGCTTCATGCAAACGACCGACTGATGTCCGTTAAAAAAAAAAATATTAAGGACCCCAAAAGGGGCCCTAATTTTGACAACCATCCACATCAGGAACCTGCAGGGGTGTCGGGTCATCTACGATTCGAGGTGGGGGTGGTGGCTCTTGGGGGGTGATGTCGTAGGGTCCGGAAGACGAAATGTTACAACAAGAACAATACGCCTAGCCACGATGTCTCTAAACTGAAGGCACGTCCGAAGCAAGCGTTGGTTATGAAGGTTTAGGGTTTAGGGTTTAGGGTCGTTAACTTGGGCTGCAGCCACCTTGAAATTGCTGTATTGATTGCCCTTTCTGTAACTAGCGTAAATCCCTGGCAGATTGACCCCCTACCATGGAACCGACGAGGGATCCCAATTTTCAAGCCATCACCCAAAGGCTCCATGTACCTTTAGAGTCGACACTTAGGCCTTGAGGGGGCCCTATATTATAGGTACTCTAAGGCCTAAGTATATACTACATGGGTGCATGGAGGGCCTTAGGGTCAACTGGAGGAGGGCTATCGATCGGAGGTCGGCGCTGTTTAGGGTTTCGGGGCTTAATACGGTTGATGATGCAAACCCTGCATTACCTTAAGGACCCTAAACAATGGGAATTATGGTATATTCCTCAATATGGGTAATGCAGGATTTATATCATCAACAGTATTTAGGGTAACAACGCCTATAATCCTGCTCCACTCGTTCAAGACCCACAGGTAGACTCAGATGAACACATAGATAAATAAATAGATCGATAGCTACATGGATAGATAAATCAGATCCAGAGGACATAGATAGAGAGATAGAGCGAGAGAGCACGAGAGAAGAACGCAAAGAGCGCTGAAGCGACTCCTTGCTGCAGCATTTACGAGTGTCAGTGCATAAGGCTTACAGGATCAGCCAAGGGAAAGTATGTCACTCAGATGACGAAGGGCTCCTTAGCTGGCCTGATACAGGGGCCTAAACAATTACCCATACTATTTTCGGTGGGTTCCTTATCATACTTATAATATAATGGGCCCAAAACCCTATTCCAATTCTGAAGGCCCCTATACTAAACTAAACACTTATAGTAGCCCTGTAGGAACCCTTATAGACCCCTTTAAAGGAACCCTGTTCTAATTATGAAGGCCCGTATTATATTAGTTAAAAGGTACAGCTACAGTTAGGATCTGGGAACCCAGGATCTTGAGGAACCATGGAAGTCTTTGTCCAAAACCTTCAAGCGGGCTGCCTGGGAACCTTAAACCCCAAACCCTAAACCCCGAAACCCTTAACCCTAAACCATTAACACGCAACTGAGACCCCATGAGTAAACTTAAACCTACCGTTTTTAAGGCTTGAGTCCCATAATTCTGATGTCAACAGGAACATGTTGTAGGGTTTGGGGGTCTCCTCAAGGGATCTTTGGGTTGCAGCCAGGGTGCAAGCAACACCTTCTGGTGCGCCTGCGCGCTGCAACACATAAGGGTGTCGTCAGGGTTCAAGAAGTAGGGTGTACGCAGGTTACCCTAAACCCTAAACCCTAAAGTTTCTTTCGCTCAGGAGAACTCGCAGCATGTATAGGTACAGCGAGGTTCCGGAGTTCTAGAGTCACTGCAATCCACCAAAACCCGACGTCCGTGCATCCTGAGGACATGACTTAAACCTGCTGGCTCTGTGGACAACAAATCCCCAACCTTGACTCCTGACTGACCTAATCCTAAATCCTAAACCTTAGAACTTACAACCCTAGCCCCGATAGCCTTCAAACCCTTGTTGCTGCAGGCTTGCTTGCAAGGACACCTGGTAGTTTGCCGCTCTTCCGCCAGTTAGGACTGTGCTCGTGACAGCGCCCCTAGCTTCTGAGCATGCGACTGAGAGCCTTCAAACCGTAAAACCCTAACTTCAGGGTGAAAGGCTTGGACTTCACTGCGGCCGCCCCTTACGGACCCTGAACTATGGGAATTCTGGTATATTCCCTATTATGGGTATTGCAGGATTTATATCATCAACCGGACCATGGAACCTTTCACATCTTTCAGGATCTTTTCAATCCCCAAACGCTACATCCCCAGACTCTTCACAAACCCGAAATGGGACTTAAAACCTCTTCACTTACGCAGGCTTTTCAGGGGTCGTAGCCGGTGGGACTTGGGGCTGTTGCAACTTATCATAAGGACTGTTGTGTTTTAGGTTAGGGGGGAGGGGGGTAGGTCAGGTGGCCTTCATACCCCTAATAAGGAATCCATACGCACCCTTCTCCCCCTCAGGTTCTCCATGAACCTGTGCCCCAAGTGATTGATAGTTTGCACAAATTAACGTAGGAACTTCCCTGACCCAGCAAGAGCAAAGGGTGCTATACACTATAAAGCACACTGCTCTTGATAATCGACTTCGTAGTAATTAGTAGTAGGTCCCTGGGCCCTCTAAATGAAGTCTGAACCCAAAACCCCTAATCCCTAAACCCATAATCCCAAAACCCTAAGCCCGGAATCCCAAAACCCTAAACCCCATAATCGCCAAACCCCTAATCCCTAATCCCCGAAACCCTCCACCCTGACACTTCTTCAAGGCGCCTTGGTGGTCGTCACAGTGGCCGAAAGCCCAGGAAGCTCGGTCCACTGGTCCTCCTCCACCACCGACGCCGCCTTCATCCTCAAGTGGGTAGTTGCAAAATTAGGGTCCCTTTTGAGGTACCTTAAATAGTAGCTGCCGTATTATATTAAGGACCCAAAAAGGGACCATAATTTTGACAACCACTCAAGTGTGGGTCTTTGGTGTTTCTAAGGCTTTATGGAGTGTTCATATACAAGGGTTACGTAGGGGTTCGAAAAGTTGTGAGGGTTTGGGATTTTGGGGCTTGGGGTTGCAGGCGAAGGATTTCGGGGTGTCGGTGGAGTTTTGTTTAGGCTTGAGTATTTGGGCTTTTGTCTGTCTAGGGCTTTGGGATTTCAGCTTTGGGGCTTGTTCGCATTTGGTGCTTGAAGATTCGTTTGCTGTCGGCATCTGCATGTGCATAGATGTGTGTCTGTGTTGATGTGGTGTATGTGTGTGTGTGTGCGTGCACGCATGCGGGGCGTAGTTCTTCTATAAAGCCCTACAAGGCATGTAGTGCTGTTGATGGGAGTGATGACAGCTCGGTTGTTTGGACAGGGCTAGATTGTGGGTGGATATTGCTGACCTGGATGAAGTGTAAGCCTGGAGGAGGTAGAGATGTCTGCTTACGCGGTTGCGGTGGTCGTCTTCGTCGTCGCTGATATCGCTGCCGCAGGTTGTTCGCATGTGCTTCGGTTGCGGTTAAGTTGGGGTCCCGTACTCAACCACAACTATGCTCGTCTTCGTAGTGTGGCTGTTAGGAGGGATCCGGCTCTTGCCTTCGGGCCATAGGTGGTGGACCTATCCTCTCTTCGCTGGCGCCTCTCTAGCTTTAACATCGTGCCCATCGTAGGTAAGCTGCCCTTTCCGCAAGAGTTGCTTTTCCAGTGACTGGTGTAAATATTGTGCGATCCTGATTTGTTGCTGAAAAGTAGACTGCTACGGTAAGAGGGCTCACCAAACCGGAGCGGCACAACGTATCAATACACCTTTGAACCAGTTAACCCATAACACTTCAACCCGACACCCCAGACTCCTCATCCAAGCCGCGACATGCCTCCGACCAAAACTACAACCCTATACCCTACACCTCGACACTAAAACCTAGGCCCAAGGCCCAAACCCCTCAACCGCTTAAAGCCCCAAACCCTTGCAGTACCCTGACAATACCCTCATGGTACCCTTGCAGTAAGGAACCCTTATAGGGATCTTAAACCCAGTGTGCCTGTACGGTCCGGAGACGGAGCTGCCGGGCAACCTGATCGCTTTGGTATACTTTAAGTGTGCTAATCTTTCAAAGCACAAAAAAGGTTCTACAGGAGGTTTGGGGTTTAGGGGTCTGGGGCTTATGGCTTTCGAGGTATAGGATTGATAGGTTTTCGTCCCCAAGGCTAAACCACCCTTTCCTTCCAGGGCTCTGCAAGGGTTCCATACTCAGGGCTTCAGACTTTGTTACTTTTGATTTGGTGCAGTAGGGTAAGTAGGGTTAGTCAGACATGTACTGGGGATTTCTCTCAACAACCACTGTCCCTAGTGAGATCCGACCAGCTGTCGAAAGCAGCCACAACCATCACCAGAACAACCACAAGCACCACAATGCCCACCCCGAAAACTGTAGAAATAACCTACCGTTCTAAGGACTCATATAATTAAAGAAATCATATTAAGGAACCCTAAACAAGGTAGACTATTTGGGGTCAAGGTATGTCTAAACTCTAATTTCGGACGGGGGGGCCTCAAGAGCCCCAGCTGTCTCGGTGCGGCGTCGAGGTGGCAGACGCGAGTCTCTCCTGGGTAGCTTCGGTAATTCAGGGTTTAGAGTTTAGGGGTTTAGGGTTTAGGGGGGGTGCTCTGGTACAACCCTAGAGACACCAAAACCCTAACCCCTAAGCCCTAAACGCGAAGCCGCAGGACGAAATCATACTTCAAATGAGTAGTCTTCCTCCGCAGACCCTATCACATTGGATTCTTGCCGAATGCATGCCAAGCCAAGCCACCCAACCCTACATCCATTTGCAAACCCCGAACCGTGCATGCCAAGACACCCTCTTCAGCCGTCACTGCTGCCCTGACCTGAGAACTCACGATACAGAAAGTGGCTTGGCATTCAGCGCTACGAGCTCTAAGCAAAGTTGGGTGTTTTGTAAGGCTTCTACATTGCTTCTTGTAGGTATGAGGGTCCGCCTGAGGCTTCTTGTCTGGGTTCTGCCAAGGGCTCTGATAATAGGCTCTTGTAAGGGTGTTAATTATCGAGGGCTCGGAGAAGCTATAAGATGACAAAAACACTTTCTACAAGGGTGCTGATACTGCTGATGGACAAAATCCTGCACTACCCATTATAAGGAATATACCCTAGTTCCCATAGTGTAGAGTCGTTAGGGTCATGCAAGATTTTGTCCATCAACAGTACGGATTACCTGGACCCTAAGGAACCCACCTTTTCAATGAGTTCTGTATATAAGTCCTAAAAAAAGTAGGTTACTTGGGGTTAAGGTACCCATAGGCCCCAAAGTAGTTCCTTTTTGGGGTTCATATTAATCCCAAAAAGGAACTACTTTGGGGCCTATGGGTAGAGTGCTTGCTTGCTGAGGGGCTTACCTATAGTCTCCATTGTAATTCCTTTTTGGGGTTTCCAGGATCCTTCATGTATTATTGGTAAAACCAGAAACAGGAACTACAATGGAGACTGTAAGTAGGGGTTGCGCGCAACCCCTCGGCCCGAAGGCCTTATCTCCACTCGACGCGCTGCGTCCACTGCTCGCTCTCTGCCGTTGCATCCTTAAAGGGTCTGGCAGCGCCAGCTGATACGCGCGGTCGAACTTTCGAGACCCTCATACTTCACAATTGGGGTTATAAGTAACTATAAGTATAGTTACCTTATTTATAACCTCACTTACTAAGTCCCATGATCCTCGAAGTATGTTCCCGCAGCCCGATGCCATAACCTCAGTGCCCTCTGCGTCTTCAGAGTTCTGAACGAGAACCAGTCCCAACTCGTCCGTGGCATTCTAGCGTGTAGAGATTCAGGGATTAGGATATGGGAGTTTCCGAAAATAGGGGACCCTAGTACGGTACCCCTAAATAGTAGGATCCTCTTTATGAGGACCCCAAAGCTTGGTACCCCTAATTTGCGGAAACTCCCATATGGGGGACTTGGGGTTTAAATGGGGTTTGGGGTTTACGGTTTGGGTTCCGCTTGCTTTCATGAAGTCCAACCTCCCAGGACGAAAATCTCGGCATTGGAACAATAACCTCGCCAGGACCCTGCAGGTACTAAAGAGGCCGAAAAATTACCTGCACTATTTTGGGGATAACTAGTAACCCTATTCTAACTATTAAGTCCCCCCCCATATTAACAACCACCCCAGGTGCCTCGTAAAGGTGCGGGCCCTCTTGGGGATCATCCATCACAGTCATGACCTGCAAAGCAGCGGTTTAGGGTCGTTCCAAAGTTGGGACTGCCATGCTTTTCTTGAGATCGAGATGGACAAGTAGAGTAGAGACGCTGTTGCTGTTGAATGTAGAAGATAGCACCGCCGAAAGGACTACACCCCTGATAGCAACGGCTGACGAAAAACAACGATTTACTGGTTGTGAAATTGTCGCGCTACCTTATTCTAACAAACCGCTCCCTCAATTACTGTTCATATCACTAAACCCTAAACCCCTAGGCCTTAAAAACCGTAAACCCCTAAACCCTAAGCTGAGCTGTCGTCTGAAAGTTATTAGCAAGATTATTATTGATATCAGTAATTACTAAATTCTGACCGTCATTAACTGCTATAATCGGATTTATTGCATTATCTAAATCGGTCTGACTTATGCCACCACCTCCACCGCCTCCGCCAGAGTTTGCTATTTCAGTATCTACATAAGCTTTTGTAGCGTATAAATCATTCAAGGCAGTTCCATTAACAACAATATTATTAGCTGTTAATGTGTTTGTATTATTCAGTGTTAAGGTCATTATTAAATTAATTTAGATAATTAATTTAACAATGTTTATTTAATCATACACTTTCAAGCCGAGGTCTTTTATTTCAAGTATTTGCTCACTCAATAGCGTTATATACATTTGGTCAGGCATTTCGTTAGAAGGAATGGATGCACCAGCAGGTTTTATGCGAATTAACATTTGTTGCCCAGCACGTGTGTTAATTCCGGTATAACTGCTGTCGATCACACGTTCGAAATTAAAACCGAAAATAAATTGACGGTCTCTATATTGTATAAAATCTACTGCAAGACTATGTTGATGAAACATCGGAAGGTTTAATGCTTTTCTTAAATGGTAAAAACACTGCGTAATTGAATTACAAGGATATTCAGGGAACAACTGAGAACCAAGTTGAATTTGAAACTCTAAGTCTTTATTTACATCATAAATACCGTGTTCTTGCTCGTTGTGAGTTTGATGTGGATGATAAAATCGGCAAAATTCTTTGTCAGCATATTCATAACCTAATGAAGGACTACCTGATTTATAAAATGTAATAAACGAAGCAACAAGTTTAGAAACAGAACGAATAACAGGAACGCTGATGTGGTCAGATGCATTTACGATGCTCTGAGATTGAGTAATATAAGTTGTATAAGTGATGGGAAGACCTTTTCCTTCTAATAAATGTTTAACATATTCGTTATTAAGTTCGTTTGATAAAGTAGAAACGTCGCATGCACAAAAAACGTTGTTTATTTCGAACTGAGTGCTTGTATTAGAAGCATTACCAGCAGGTAAGGCAACATCTTTAGTAAATTTATTACGGAGGTTTTCACCAATACCAGTGTCAGTTTCATCAAAGTCATCGGGATTAATAAGACAATCATTAGCGGAATTAACTAATTCAAGTTCAATTGTTAAGTTTCCCATATATTTTAATGGTAAATACTTAAATTGTGAAAACAAACCGGCTAATGGTTTGAAAGCAACTGTCATTTCGTCTCTAAAACCTGGGCAAGTTGTGCTATTAACATCATAATCTAAACGAGTTCCGACTTCATTGTTTAAACTTTTAACTTCATCGTCGTATCTGTATCCGAAACTTTCGTTCGCTTCATCTTTTCTTGCTCCTTGCGACATCATCTTAGAAAACATATGATGAACACGATTGTAATTATCAAAGTCTTCAACAACTTGACTACCAGCGATTATTCTTATTCGTCTGAAAAAAGAATATGCAGGAGATAAGGGACGAAGTTTTCTGTTCAAATTTGGGTCTTTGTTTTGAAGATTGAAGAAAATACGGACACTTTGAGGGTCTAACCAAGTATTATCTTCACCATTTAATGAAATTTTAACAACGCGATTCCCTGACTGCGGAGTATACACGTTTGTCCCAGACGGGTAAAATCTTACACTGCGTTTTTGTTGCACGTATGAACTACCTTTGTTTAATTTAAATGAAAGGTTATCAACAAGGATGTCCTCGGGGCTGAATGTTTCAATAGACATTTTCTTATATATCTTGGTTAGAAAAATAAATTTGATTAAATACAATTTATAATTATATTTGATCAAATAATTTAAAATTATATGTATTTTCTTTTATATTCTTCTTCTTCTTAACTATACTATTTATTTCCTGTCTTTCCACATCATTTTCTTCAACTAACTTCCTTATTTCTTCGTAGCTGTTCTGTTTAAATTTCTTGTCGGGCTTCGTCTTTTCCATCTGTTCGTAAGTCTGCGCTTTGTAAGAAAACATTATTATTATTATTTAGATTATTTAATGCTTCTTGGTGCTTTTTAGTTCGTTGATGTCTTCTTATGTCTTCTTTTCTTACTTCACAACCACAACTACAAACGGTTTGAAGTTTTCGTTTTTCAATCACATATTCTTTCTTTCTGTATTCTACTTTTTGTTGTTTAAGTTTCTCCTTATTCTCAATGCGATATAACTTTTGATATTCTGACATCCTTTCCTTATGTTTGTTTCTCTCTTCGGCTTTCAAATCTGTATCCTCAATTTGTGGTGATACACTATTTAACGCGTCTTTATGTTTTTTGCTTCGTTGATGACGCATGAGATTTGATTTAGAAATTTTTTCACCACATTCACAATTGACTTTCACATTTATTTTCTTTTTAATTTCTTCACTGTTATTATTGTAATATTCTCTTGCCTTGTCGTTCAACATTTCTTTGTTAATCGCACGGTAGTTCTTTTTATATTCTTGTATTTTGGTTTTATTAATATTGGCATATTCTTGTTTATATTGTTGTATTTTCGGCTTGTTTTTGTTGTAATAACTCTTATAACTTTCCTTTAAATATTCTTCATTGTCCTTTCTCCATTCTTCAATAGTTCTTCCCTCAATTCGTTTATTGAGTGTTGATAAAGACCTTATGTATTCACCTTCTTTTGCTCTCAACTGTTCTTTGTTTTCACAGGGATATTCTTCAAGAAGTTCAATGTAAAAGTTATTTGCACCATGCTCTCTCATTTTAGCATATAAATTCATATTAAAATCTCTCTTGCTATTCATTGCTATTCTATGATCCGCCATGCGTTTGGAAAGGGGTTGGCAACTTGACCCAATATAAATGTCGTCGTTTATGTAATTTCTTACACAGTAGATTTTTGCGTTTTTATAGTCCATCTTCGGTTATATACGGTTATATACGATTTCATCTTTAAATATCAACTCAAAAAATCATCCGCGGTAATTGGAACATCTGAATTTTGATTACCTACATCATTAAAGCCTTCCATAAAATGGTTGGAAAAAGGTTCAACTGTTCCTTTATCAACTGTAATCGCTCCTTGGTCTAGAATGCTAATGGGATCATATTTACCCCTTATTCGTAGGTTCTGTCCTACCTCTTCTGGTTTTTGAAAAGAAAACGTCGGACTTGCATAAACTCTTGTTTTAAATCTATTGTCATAGTCTCTATTCAAATGTAATGTGATCGCACCACCAAGCGAGTGTCCAATAATTTGCTCTATATTTCCTTCCTCTTCAATCTTCCTTTTAGCATCTTTGAATCTTTGTGTTTCATTAGTTTTGTTGAAAGGCACTTTTGTTATATCATCATATAAATCACCTAACCATCTTCCGCCTCCGCCAGTTCCTGCTATGTATAATCTCGTGCCATTTTGATATAAACCGTCGGGGCTTTCATATGCAAGTCTTAATCCGATAGCATCAGTCAAATTATTTTCGCGACCCGCTAATTCTTCTTTGACATCATCAACAACTTTACTTCTTGTATTAGGTGCTTCATATAATATACCTTCATTTCTTCTTTTGTTTCTATGCATTATAAATTAACTTATAAATTATTTTTCTCAGACATTTTATATTATTATGTTAAAGTTTAAGAAGATATATATTGACAGTAGTTATAAAGTCAGTGGCACTTCATCTGATTTTACTATTGACTTGCCCGAAACAGTTCAACTAGAAGATAACATAAAGTGTATAATACATGAAGTGAGCATCCCGCATTCTTGGTTTTCAATTCAACAGGGTTTTAACGACAGCCTCTATTTTTATCAGTTAGACCCTAACGGGGTAAATCCTGATATCATTGACTGTCGCATCTTTTCAATTGATGAAGGTAATTATTCCGGCGCGGAACTTGCTGAACGAATTGAATTTTGGTTGAATGATTATTTTGACAGTAGAAATCCTGATGTTGCTAGAACCGACACTTACACAGTTTCATATAACACAAAACTTAACAAAATTCAAATAGCCGTTAATTATGCTAATCTTATCTTCAATGTTTTTACAGAAGCAGAAGTAATAGCCAATCAAAACCAATTTACGGGCATTGATGTCAGTAATTTACGTTCAATAAATAAAGTCCTAAATATTGTTGATAATTCACCCACTCACGGAATTGCATTACCCTTCGTATCGGGTTTTTTAGACCTAGTTCCGATTAAAAACCTTTATTTACACTGTAACGAAATTAGCAACTATAATCAATTGACTGTGGCTGGCAATTCAAGTATTATAAAGAAAATAAATGTGACAGTTCCATATCTCGGAATAATAAGCGACAATGACATCAATGAGTTTGATTATGTCGATTGCAGTAATAAAATACTACGTAGGTTAAATTTCAAATTCACCAACGAGTTTAATCAGACTGTTAATTTTAATAATGTTGATTGTAGTTTTTCTCTAACCTTTTTCAGAAATTAACGAAACATCAAAGCAACGAAACAATATAAATCAAACAAGCCAACAAACATCAGAAAACAGTTCCTAAAAAACCTTTCAATATTATTTCTATTTTACATAAAATAGAAATAATATAGACTATATTATATATGTCAGAAGTGCCTGAAACAGTTATTGAAGAAGACACCAACAACGATAATGAAGAAGCAACTAAAAATATTGAAGAGCCAAAACCAGAAGAGGTTAAGGAAGAAACACCCGAGGAGACACCAAAGCAAGAACCAAAA